TGTCTTCCACCCAACCTGGACATCCAATGGCACAGTGAGCTCTACACCCCTCAGAGAAGTCAAATTCATAGAGACATAAAGTAGAATGGTGGTTTCCAAGGGCTAGGAACCGTTTTAAAAATCTAAGTTTTTACCCTAAATGCAATTAAAAGCCATTAAAAGGATTTAAGATAGAAGACAGCAAAATCAAAGTTGCATTTCAAAAAGATCAGACATAATATAGAAATTGGAGAGGCTCCAGCATGCAATTTCCTCCCTACTAAATCAACATAGCCCGACCTTTCTCAGAACCAGACTTGGCATCAGGAAACCTAAGTTTCTAGTCTTATATGTTACTTAACCATTACCTCTAATACAGTCTATCCTACAAGATTTCTAAGGTGGCAAAAAACTTGAAAAGTTTAAGCAAGAATCCTACCTTCCAACTTGCTTTAGTCCTCAAAGTCCAGATAAAAGAGAAATACAGTAGCTATGCAACTACCATTTCTCCAAGACAGAGGCTCTGCTCCAGCAACAGCACAAACAGGAAGGAACAGGCTAGACCGGCCACCAACTACTACTTACTAACCACCCCAGGGTTTACTTTATTCCAGGGGATTTTGTGTACACAATGCTGGGGGAGTGAGGGGGCGAGTATCCATAGGGATCATTGTAAACTGATCTTTTTTCTTCGCACATTGTACTAAGCATACTTTACATTTTAATGAAATGAGGGTGACATCTATGAAGCCTCCATGGCTTCAATGCTTTTTAACACTTATAAATCTTATCACATGTCTTAGACAAGTCGTGTTTGAAATTCACGGCCCAGCCATGTATGTATATCAGATCTCAAAATGAGGAAGTTGGATCTAGTAATCCTGCATGCAGCTTAACTATTTGCCCCCAAAATATTACTGGGGATTTGACAAGTGGCATAAATTGTCTTAGACAAACAGATGTGTTGGGTTAGGAGGGCTGAAGGCTGACTGAGGTCCTCGCAGGAAAAGCCACAAAGGAAGTCACCTAGAACGAGCTATGAATGAGCTACCCAGCAGTTCCACAACCCTGCCCTCTCTGCGGTCTCCAGGTCCATGGTCTGGTCACCTGATAAAGGTACTAACCTGCTCTATAAAGGCCTGTAAACACTGAAAGAAAAGTAAGAACCTGACTCTCCAAATTCAACTCAAAGATGAATCCATTTTCATCTAATGGAACAAAACAATTTATCAGTCTTTCATATGTTCTTTTTGGAAAACAATCTGCAAAACTTGCATTACCAACATATTATTAATTTTGACCACTCCCATTCATTTTATAGAAATGCCTCAAGATCTTATATTTTAACACCAAAGTAGAAGGCATGATACCACTTGGCAAACAGGATGAAAGCTGCAGGTCACGGTATCTGAAATAACAAACGGCAATGACTTCTTCTTGCTTTCAAGACTTCTAAAAGATATCCATTTTTATAACTGAAAATAATATAATCTCAACATAGGAACATACAGAAAGAGTACAAGTGAAGGTGAACCTAGAGTAGTTAGTGCAGAAAACCAAGGCACGTAAATGTTGCAGACAAAAGAACAGACTTTTCAGTGCTGCCTGATCCAAGACAGACAACAATGATGTTTAAACCCAAGCCATTCTAACAAGAACAAAACAGAAGAGGTAATCTGGTAGAAAGAATGCCTCAGTAGGAGTCAAGACCCAAATCCTGTCTCTGAAACCAGCTGTACAAATAAGACAAAACACAGTTTCCTAAGCCTCTGAGTATACTTTTGTTTAAAAACATTACAATATAATAAATAATTTAAGATAATAATGTAGTTTAAAAGTGACCTCCAAATTGCTAAATCCTAAAGGAACTGAAACAGAAGAGATGAAAACACTGGAGGGTGTGAAAGCACCTGCCTAGAAGGAGCAAAACAGGCAAGCATCACAAAAGACACACACACACAATAATATTTAAACTAATTAAGATATACAGATTGTATCCCCTTTAAAATGAACTTCACTGACAAAAAAAAACTGACTCTTGAAACTCTGCCCTCTACCAAAAGAAATTCTTCCACTGTCCCGCCAGTCACCAGCAGTGGGAAGCAAAGAGTCGCTGGAGCTGCAAATCAAGAGCCCACACACCTGCTTCACCTGTCAGACCCATCTTCGGGCAAATCAGCCCCAACTGCCACAAGAGCTCTATCCCATCTCAGGAACGGGCTTTCCACTCTTGCTCCTCAGTGTAGAGGAAATCTGCTGGACTACAACAGGGAGAGCATGCCCTGTTATAATCTGGGAAGCATTATCTGCTAAGAACAATGTTAAATCACAAGAGATTGGCTACATAAGTAATAGCCTATCTACACAAGGCAAGATCAGGCAACATTACAGGAAAAAAAAACAAAAACAAAACTGCACAATTCTTAAAATGATATGAGGAAGTGTTTACATATATTGTTAGGGAACACATTGGGTGGAGGGGAGGCAAAGTACAAAACTCTGTTTTAAATGATAACTATATGTTAAAAATAAATTTCACATGGGATTTGTCTTACCAGCTATCAAAATTTATTATAATGTCGTGCTTTTGCACGTACAAATAAATCAATGAAACAGAAGAGAACAGATTAAGAATCCTAAGCACATCTAGGACCTTGAAATAAAATAGATTACAAAATCATGAGGAAACAACAAACTCAATAAAAGATGTTCGGGTAATTTTCCCTATAGACAAAAACAAAATTAGACCTCCATCTTACTCCATTCTTAAAAATACAAATTAAAATGAGGTGGCATCAGGTTACTAAAAAAATTTTGGTCTGAAAATAACAAGTTTCGAAGACAATGTAATGAAATGAATGAAAAAAGGTGAACAGTCCTTAACGGCTTGTGGGATTATAAATTTCTAGTATGCTGTGCAGAATAAGTTGGCTGCATGTGGTCAAACTGAAAATGAGCACTATCCTATGAATCACGATGAATAATTATTCCAATTCTAGTTATAGCCTAGAAAGCTTGCACACATGCTCACAAAGGACATGTGTTAGAATTTTCAATGCAGCATTATGGGTAACAGCAAAAGAAACACATTTTTTAAAGCACTCCAGATGTTCATTGGTAAAATACACAAATAATGCGGTGTAGCATTCTATGAAAGAATATAACAATATTACCAAGTAGTTAAAACAAGTGACCAGCGAACTAGGTACTATTTATTAACATAGCTACATCTCACTAATAAGCAAATAGCAAAATGTTAGAGAGTAAATTTAAACACATGTAAAACAATGTTTATGTTGTTTTTGGATACACAAATACATAGTAAAACTAAAAAACACAGACTGGCTGCATAGCAGATTTGTTCCAGCGGCTGCCCTTTGCTGTGGACAGGGATGATCAGGGTCAGAGGTACAGACAGAGGATGGGGAACAGGACTGGGGAGAATACTAGAGACTTTAATAGTAATATAACGGTTGAGAATCTGTTTAACCCAAAGAACGAAAATATTAACACTTGCTTCAGGTGGCATGATGTGGAGTTTTACTGCATTATCCTCTGTACTATTATGTAACTTGCTAGTATTATTGTTCACAATGCACAAAAAGTGGCTGAAAGGAAACAACAAACTGGTTAGAATATGCCACTCTGGGTTATAAAAACAAAACTTTTTTTGGCTGCTGCTGCACTTTATTTTTCAATTTTTTCATAATAAGTGTACATTAGTTTAAGAATTGGGGGAAAAATCTTTTGAACAGGAAAAAATACACAGGTAGTGATTAGATTCCATATAGTTTTGGTTCACATAAATATCTGTTGACAGGATTTAAGGCTGTTACAACATGACATACGTACTCTTGCTTCTTTGGGACTCTAAAAGTCCTCAAAAGCCAAAATAAAAACCTATTTTGAAATCCCAAAACTTTTATACAAAATATCAATGTACCAATGAAGAGGACAAAAGTTGCTTCTACAAACAACATTCTGGTCTTTGCGGAAGGACAGAGAAAAGGGTTCCCTAATGGCTATAGACTATTAATGCTTTCATCATTATCTATAATTGTACAAAAATACAAGAAAGCATCACAAGAAATAAATTCGGTGTGTATTCCAGTACTACTTTTTCCATTATCATGATAAATAGTTTGTGGAAAGCTTTTCAAATTGGAATATAATGAGAAAGTAATAAAGCCTATCATTGTATTCCATTCCATCAGAAAACAAAACGGGAACTTTTATTATATGTAAAGAATATCAGTCAAACAACTTAACCTTGCCAAACCTCAGTTTTCTCACCTGTAAAATGAGCATCCTACCATGCCTCTCTCAAAGGGAGTGGCAATTGAGTACAGTAAGGAACTTCCATAGGCAAAAACCTGGTCTACTTTGCTGGAGGGTGCAGTGAAAGAAGCAAGAGCCAAGCCTGATGCCTGGCCATAGCAGGCTTCAGTGGTATATTAAACTGAATGTGGGGAGCCTCATTTGATCATCAAGGGAAAAAAGGAAATAGTCTTAGAAGATAGCAATCATAATGTAATGAAATACTTTAAGAAAACAGAACCTCTTTGTGATGAACACAAAACTTTAAATATTGATAGTGAATAATGACAACAGAATAATTCCTTATAGCAATGGTTTCAAGAGATGGTCACTTTCACTTAACAAAATTGTAAAGCACTGGGCATGATCTACAAATATTTAAGTACACATATCTCATACACTAAAAGAGAACAAAAGTGGTAACAGATGAAAGTTGAACTGTTTTCCCCAAATTATTATTTTTTTTTTTACCATTTTGTATCTACTTCATGAACAGTTATTCTTACTTGTTCTAGCTCACAAACACGAGAGGTGACTTAGGAATGAGACACCCCAGTTAACCAATCAGCCAAGCAAAATCAACCCAACAGTTAGCAGGGCTAAGAGCCAGAAAGCTCTCACATCTACAGCACTGTCATACTGGTTTTTATATTAAACGAACAGCAGAGGAAATAATAACCCCCAAACTTCAAAAAGCACCTTACCAGAGTGATGTCTCGAGAAGCTGCAGCTGCACTCATATGCAAACTAGGCTGCCTTACAGAACTGCTGCAATCAAGGGCTCGAGCGAATGTCCCAACAGCACTGGATAAACCATAAAAGCAAACAGGAAAGAGTAAGGTGCTGCTATTTTTTTAATCTTAAACACACACACACACACACACACACACACATTTAGGTAGCAAATGAAAAACTGTAAAAGTCAAACAAGTTCATTCGAATGTGTAAGAATCAAGTATCAGATTTGACATCCATTAATGAAGACACTGGCTGCACATTGTAAAATTTTTGTCAGTGATCCTACTGTATGAATCCTCACTAAACATTATTTTTGAGATTTCTCCCTTTGCTACATATAGCCCTGACTGATTTGTTTTAACTGCTGTATAGATAAAGTATATTCTGTACGATTTAAGACTGACAAGCCAATGTTATACATATGGGTCATTATAATTAAATTAAGAAAAAGTGGCTTGTGTGGCATAAAGAATGGAAAGATCCACAATGAAATGCCATGGAGTAAACAATTTGGTATCCAAAAGTGCTCAAAAAGTAAGAAGTAAATTAGATGCAGAGTTTGACTATTACTGCATAGCAAGTTCTGACTGCTTTTCTAGCCCAAATTGTGACATTCTAGAAACATTTTTCCTTGAGATGAGATATCATCAGCTGTAGCAACAAGCTCCTTTGAGGACTCAATCTATACTAGATTTTCATTAAAAAAGAAAAAGAAGAATTACCACAATACTGATTTTTATTTAATGATTTACAAGCTCTTCCCATATACTGAGATCCCTAACTTCAAGAAATAAAGCATGGAATGAAGATAAAACTTGCTGCTTTTTGTCTGTATTTTAAACTTGCTAGCTGAGGAAGAGACTTTTTAAACAGTTTAATTAAAATATAACACATGTGCAAAAAGTACAAATTGTACACCTATCTAGTTATCACAAAGTCAGTGCATCCATGTCACCAACATTCAGGTCAAAAAACACATCGTGACAGTGCCCTGAAGACTCCTTCTGTAGGGCTGTTTGACCAATGCTTAGCACTCATTGGTTTCTAAAATTTTAACCATTCTGGTGGGATGTGCAGTAGTACCTGACTGTGGTCTTAATATATATTTAGATTTTTTTTTTAAACAAAAATTTACAAAGACACTAGGTGCACCTCCTTGGTGCTTCTTATGCTGGCTTCAAGGGGGAAAATACATATATGGTCGTTGGCAATCAGGAAATACAAATCAAATCTGAAACTGCAATATCTACTAAATAATCCAAAATCCAGGTAAATTTTCTGAAGTCTCTAGACAGCAGTTCTACCAGTGATTCATTCCTACTCCTGAATCTTCAGTCTCATTTACTCCACTGGCTGGCTCCTCCCTAACAATGTACATCAAGTCTCTTCATCCAATAACTTAGTGGCTAGGCGTGTGGGCTCTGGAGTCTGAATGCCTAGCCACCACCAATGACTTCCATGATGACCGGCACCATGAACAGTGAGTACTAAGGATGAACCAAGACCCTTTTTCCCCTTGTATTATGAAAACTGTTCAACAGAAAATTAAGAGGATACAGTGAAGACCCTTGTAATCATGTCCAGATGCACCTCATTTTAATATTTTGCCATGTTTGAAGCAATAAGGATATATTGTACAGCACAGGGAAATACAGCCATTATTTTGTAATAACTTTAAAGGGAGTACAACCTATAAAAATACTCAATCCCTATGCTGTACACTTGAAATTAATGTAATACTGTAACTTAGCTATATTTCAACAAAAATAAATTAATAAATTAAAAAGATAATAATATTCTGCCATGTTTGGTTCATTTTTTTTAGGAAATAAATACTTTTAAAAGTATTTTTAAAATACTTCCATACCTAGTCCCAGAACTCATATATACATATGTAATATGCATATGCATATATACACCCATTAGTGAAGACACTGGTTGCATACTGTAAAATTTTTTTCAGTGATCATACTGTATGGATCCTCACTAAACATTATTTTTGAGATTTCTCCCTTTGCTACATATAGCCCTGACTGATTTGTTTTCATTGCTGTATAGTAATAACCCATTACTCAGTATATCTCAATTCATTCATCAACTGCTTGCTAATGTACTTTAAGGCTTTTTCAGATTTTTCTATTAAATGCAATGCTATGATCATCTTTTTTATTTTCTGCTTTGCAGCAATTCCCACGTGAACATCGTCTACTTTTATAACTGGAAAATAAAAATAAACTTCTGTCTTATTCATTTTCTCAAGAAAGAGGGTGCAGCAGAGCGGCAAGCAAGTCAGCCAGGCCTCCAGGCTTAGAGCTCTCAAAGGAAAGCCCCTCACCTACCAGCAGACCTCACTCAGCACGGTGCAATGAGAGGGGCACGGTACCAATGACCCTCAAAAATCCCTGTCTAGAGTAAAGGAGATCACCATTTTAATTAAAGATCTGGGATTTCAGGTGTGGAATTTCTTCTTTATATGTTTCTGTAGTGCTTAAGTTTTTACAAGGGGCATTTCTTATTTTTCTTAATCAGTAAAAATTAATCTTTTCATTTTTAAAACAGAAACTAATGATAATAAATCGTATTATTTAGTAGTGTGATATAAATTAGGCTTTCTTACATAGTTAGAAAAAGAAAAACACAACCAATGAAAAAAAGTAGAACACATTGAAGGAAAAACACATACATTTTCTAGAAATTCCTTTATAAAAAGAAAAGACATCTCTTGACTCAACAGCACCATACTCACCGTGCTACAACTAAAAACTGGTCAATCTGTCGATCTGTAAGTGGGCTATTTGGGTCCCAAACTTTCACTTCCAATTTTGACTGCTCCCTCTCATCGGATTCTCCTGTCCGAGAACAAAGGAAATGGAGTGTTGTTACTCACAAGGCATATATATTGTCACGTATGACTGATGACTCTGATCACCACAGCATAAAAAATGTAAGGTAAATGTTCACGGTTTGCATACATCCTTTCAGGCAGTAGATGCAGAACTCTGTAAAGTGAGCTCTGATGATGACACAATCAAACTGACCATTAACATGTTTTCCTGAGTATTTGTATACGTGAGGCACCAAACCTCACAATAAGAGATTAAAAGACAAAAAAGTGCTCCTGCCGCAAGCTCAAACTGTGATAAAACTTACACATGAAGAGCTCTGATAGAAACGAAAAGAAACATGTCACAGAGACACATAGATATATGATGTAAGATTCTGAAGATAAAAATCATTTCAGGCTAGCTAGGGAACGAGATCATGCAAGAGGTGGCTAAGAATTGAAGGGTATGAATGCACCTGCAGGGGTAGAGAACTTAAAGTAAGAAATGAAAACATGAACAAAGTCATGGGGCTTTAAGATGTGATAAAAAAGTAGCTCATGTTGTCAGGAATACACTAAAGGGAATCTAAAGAAAAGAGATGGCTTAAAGAAGTGGGTTACGTAGCTCACAGCGAAAAAAAATGTGACAATGAATATATGTATGTTCATGTATAACCGAAAAATTGTGCTCTACACTGGAATTTGACACACATTGTAAAATGACTATAACTCAATTTTAAAAAGTTTAACTAAATAAATAAATAAATAAAAGAAGTGGGTTATGAAAATGTCACTGATGATATATTTTCTGAACAGATTTTTTTATTTGGAGGTAAGGAAAAGCCCTTGCCTTTTTAGCAGAAGAGTGACAAAACCAGAACCAAACGTCACATCTCACACTTAGCAATGAAATAATTTGCTCCACAGACATACATGATAAAGACAGAGACATGGTATTGACAGTGACAATAGAGAGCAGAAGATGATTTAGGAATGTCAGTGACAAACAATATAGTGGGTAGATTTCAAGTCTTGAGAACTACATGGATACTGCTGGCATTAACAGAAAGAAACGACCAGAAAGAAATGGACTGAGGTAAAGACAGATGGATGATAATACAGGATGCTTTGTTTTAGGAATGTCTCACAAGGAGATATAACCATGAGCTAAGACATTCAACATTAGGTTCATTTTTAAAAACTAGTTATAAACCCAAAAGTTTGTCAACTGCATGAAATTTGAGAAAGGAGAATGACACAATTACACTTTCCTGTATCTTCAAGCAAAATATTTTAAGTAAGATAAATAGTACTGGTAAAAAAAAGAAATATAATAATAGTATGGTAAAAATAAATCTACATTTGAAATCTGTATTTTTAAATAACACAAAGTGAAACAATGACGGTATTTAGTATTAAGCTCCTATTATACATAAGAACATATGGATAAAATTGGTATTTACTTTCCAAATTCAAGTTAGTTAAATTGATAAATTTCAATCCTATCCATACATTCTACAGCATAAAACAGAAAGAGAATTCAGTGTAAGTGTCCTAAATAAATTTGCTATAAATAATAAAACACTCCTGAATGCATTTCTACTCACACGTAAAACACAGACCATATCGTGGGATAAGAACAAAAGAATAAATACAGAAGTTTTCTATTCAAACAGTCACTCTAGAGAATTTCCCATTTTGGAGTCATCATATAATTACATTTATATCACAGTCTGATCACTTCTTCTTTAGGAAAAACTTTCAAGAAGCTCTTGATCAAACTTACTCAGAACATGTATAACTAAATCCTCAACCAAGCTATCAGCAATCTTTAGAATGGTCTTGGGAGCTATGGGATAAGCCAGAGACTGGACCAAGATGAATTCTATGCTCTGAGGGTCATGTTCATCCCAGTCACTGCAATAACCTCGCTTTCCTCCTCCATTTATGAAAATCTGGGCAATTTCGATCTGCTGGAATCCCAGTCAGCCTGTGAAGATCTCCCTAATCTGTTAATTCCTATAAAATGTACTTACCAACTAATTACATGACTATGTACAGCATCCTAATCTTTACTTCATATGTTCCTCTTCATAATTTTGAAGAAATGTAGATTCAGCAATGATTTTAAATGTGTTAGCCGTAACCCTTCAGCTACATTTCAAGATTTCTAGAAAATAATGACAAACTACTTCTTCAGTAGTAGAAGTCCCCTAACAGCACATGACACTGTTTAAAGACTGAAGAACTAAGGCTGTATGAGCTGTCATTCTACAGATTCTTTACTGGACAACTAGAAATATTCTTTGTTTTAAATACAATTCATTTTCTTCGCAACAACCATCAGAATACTACACTTTTTGTGTTATACTTAATTCAGAAACATACAAAGATGCTATTTATCACCATTTGTATTAATGTTCTGAAAGTTCTGGGCAATGTTTTACGTTATGCATCAAAGGAATAACAGTAGAGACAAATACTGTTGATACCACTTATATGTAGAATCTTAAAAATCCAAACTCATAAAAACAGAGTAGAATGGTGGTTACCAGGGCCTGGAGGGTGGGGAGAATAGGGAGATGTAGTTCAAGGTTACAAACTTACAACCTATATAGGTAAATAAGTTCTGGAGATCTAATACACAGCATAGTGATTACAGACTGTTATTATAAACTTCAAACTTGATAAGAAACTAGATCTTAATTGTTCCCACCACAAAAAAGAAATAATTATACGACATGATAGAAGTATTAGCTAATGCTATGGTGGTAATCAAACTGCATTACATAAATGTATCAAATCAACAAATTAAACTTACACAGTGTTATATGATAATTATATCTCAATAAATTAAAAAAAGTAAATTACTAGAAAGGCACAATTAAAATAAATATATAAAACTTAATGGCATTCCACCAAAGAGAAATAAACAAAAAATTTGAAAAAAATCATTCATTGTGGCAACAAAAATATAAAATACTATGAAATAAAATTGGAAGAATGTTTATATAAAGAAATTACAAAACTTTCAGAGAATATAAGATGACTTGAAAAAAGAAGGTTTTAAAATCTTAAGGGTATAATTTTTGTACAAGTAGTTTAATAAATTTAACAAAATTTAGTTTTGAAAGTCAAATAATTCAAATATTGATCTCTATAAATCTAAGCATACAATTCTTGAAAGAATAATTACCTTTCCCTAGAAGGCAAACTGCTCTGGGTTAAGAATTACTGTTCTTACATGGTTGCAACCAATACCTGCTTACATTAACTTATCATAATCTGATGTTTTTAAGTTAATTAATAGTCACCATATTGTAGAAAACACATTCTGCAAAATTATACACTTAAAAACAATAAGGGTTATGGAAAAAATAAGACAGAACTTTTAAAACCTATGAACTTGGTAATAAGAACACACACACACAGAGCACAACAATCATAATAAAAATACCAACACAGTTAAATCTCCACTGACATTTATACCAAGTACAAAGGTCAGTCAATCCTTTATCTCCTTAAACCCTGATCTCATGCTTCCTCCACTGAGATGTAGGTCATTGTGTACAGTTTCAACAAAATTAAAAATAGAATATAGTGTGCAGGGTTTTTTTTTAAAACACTGAGGAAAATATATTTCATCCTTTCATTTGTAACTCTAATATGCCCCATATAGTTTTAACGCAGTCAAAGTGCCACAGATTTTGAGGCCACTACCTCCACTGGAGGAAAGCACTTCTGTAGAATTGCCTCCTTTTTTTTTTTTTCTGTAAACACTCTTCATCTGTGAGAATAACTGCTTAGAAAAGTCTCAGATGAACTGACGTAATTTCCACACTACACTGACATCTTTCTATCTATTGACTGCATGTGAAGTAATTCAAGTTTAAAGAGCATGTACTGTAGCCAAAGGGACTACTAATTGAATTCTTTAACTTTCAAAGACAGATGCATCCTAAATTCCCAACTACAGACAAGTGTTACTTAATTAGTAACAGTAGACAGTGGTGGCCAGGGGAGAAGCAACTGTAGTAGCTAACACTGAGCTCTGGACTCTGTGCTAAATGCTTTATAAAAATTACTTCATTTGATCATCACAACTCTATCATGTATGCACACACATCACTATTCCCTTTTTAAAGAGAAAGAAATGGGAACTTGGAGGGGTTAGTTTTCCCAATGTTACTCAGCTGAAACATAATACAGCCAGTTTTTACCCAAGACTGTGAATCCAAAGTTATTTTAGTTTAATAATTTAATGCTATTATAATACTTTAAACAGTTAACAAAGTTTAACTTAACATGTAAATGATTTATTTCTTAAAATTCCAGTGTTACAGTACAGCTAAATAATAATGCGAAACTTACTACATATGACGTCTTTTTTCTACGGAAAATTCTCTAGGTGGTTTACTCAAACTCAATAAAGATTTAAAATCTCAAAAGAAACCTTTACCTTCCTTTGCAAACTATATGCTGAGCTTTCAAGATCTCAACAGTTTGTTACACGGTGGGTAGCCATAAACAAAATTTAAAATTCTAAAGCCACAAAAAAGAAAAATTTTCACCAGCAAGACAAATGCCACATCGATGTCTTAGAATTCATCAGGACACGTTCACAAAGAAAGCAAGCCTGTGATATGTTCTGGCATGGAGCTGATGCTTCCACCTACTCAGGATATTAATTCAGGTTCTACAACTCATGCCAATGCAAATTGGAATCTGGCCACTGGTCTAAACGTACCCACTCAAGAGTATCAAAAGGGTTAGTAAGCACAGACTGCATCAAGCCCTAAATATCTGTTCTTGAACATGGTGTTTTCTACTATTTAATTTCCCTAAAAACTGGTACAAGCTGCATGTATGAAAGCTTTATAATGGCAACGTCTATGTCTTTCAAGTCTGGTTTAACTGCTGGTGTACCTATTTGCCACCCTACTCCTGCTCCCCTGAAAATACACTAATTAGGGAGTAAAGACGGGTTCTTTAAATCTTTCATCTAGCTAGTTGCCTGATACAAGTGAAAAGAAACATTCTGGATATGCTAAATGCTTTAAAGCTGAATTAAAGAGTTCAAAATGACTTCTTCATTTGTGATGAAAACTATGGTGTTTTTCATTGTTAAAGATGAATACCTACGAATAAAGCTAACAAGTTATAAACTTAGTAAGAAATATATAAAATCACTATTAAAATAGAACAAAACAAACAAAAGCTTCCACAAGACCCAAAAGTGGCCTTGAACGAAGAGAAAGAATTCCTTGTGTCTGGATAGGACGTTTCAAAAATCATCAAAATATCTATTCTCCCTAAATTAACTTAAAAATTAACTGCAACTCAAAAAAAAATAGGAAGGAAGGTTTTTTTCTTCTGGTTTTAGTCAAGCTTGGAAATAAGAGAGAAACTAGCCTTACCAAATATTAACATACACTTACAAAGCCGCTATAATTAAAGCAGAGTTTAACTAGAGCATGAACAGATAGACCAGTGGAATAGAACAGAAACCTCAGAAGCAGACCCACGTACTGCTCAACGCTATAAAATTAATCAGTCACTTCCCAAAGCAATACATAGCATTAATACAATTTCCATCAGAATCCTAATGAAATCTGGAAAGGAAGAAAGTGACAAATTGATAAATTTCAACAGTAAGAAAAAAAATCTATGAGAGAGACCCTCCTCGACAAAGAAATTTTTTAAGAACAAGGAGGGAAAACTTGCCCTACCATTAAATATATAAGAGCTACATAAAATAAACTTGGATCCATCACACGATGGAATACTGCATAAAACATAATTTCGTGGATCTCTCTCTACAGATTTATGTAACAAACAGTCTGGGAGAACATGTTAAATTAATAACAGCAGTTAATAGTGGGCTAGAAGGGAAGATCTGAGGGACTACTACTTTTGTTTCCAGTATAGTTGCATTTTTCTACCACAATTCATATCATTTGCAATAAAATAAACTTTCAGATTTAAAACCTGGGAAAAGAAAGGGAAAATAGTGGAGCCCCTTTGTTACACTATTGCTACAAAGGGACTTCATCACAAGCACTTCTAGCTGCAAGGTTTATTTGGAGATGTTGACTGTATTTTAAAGAGACAGCATTCTAAGAGATGCGGAGTACTGAACAGCACCCCTAGGGTTCTTTAAATCCTAAGGCTCAATAGGGTACCTCATGAGACTCAGTGGGGCTTTCTCTTCCACCTCATCCACAATGTGACTTCTCTTATTTAAGGTCATATGTATAATAAGAAAGGGTTCTACTGCCTAAATAAAGTTTGTAAACCACTCATCCTGAGGACTACCAGGAGAAACAATGTTAAGAGCAATTAATATTTGTTAATAAACTATAAGATCTATTACATTAATGAATATTTAGGTACATTTTCTGAATACAAAGAATACCGTTGTCAGATAACTGGTATAACTCCTCAAATGCCACAAGGTGTTAATAATTGCTTTAACCTACAAGAACCACTTCAAGGTTCTTACCCTTAGAAATTTCAAATTGTTACTGAAAAGAACTATAGAATAAATTATTTCATTTTATGTATGATTTTGTTCCTTAAATTAATTTTTAAAATTCTAAGCTAGGTAGATATGCTTTCCAAATTACAACACTCTAATCAACTTCATGTTTTCAAGGCTTAATATCACAAGTACATAATTTTTCAGATAAATGAGAACTCGCGGGTTTCCATCATATGATTTTTCTGCCACTGGCACTTGAAACATCCCAATTTTATTACTTGGTTCAGCATTTTATCTTTACATGAACAATACTACAAAATTTCTAGGCTTTCTATACACCGAAGTTTATGCTCAGTGGTCAAGAGAGAACCACACCATCAACAACTCACGCAGTCCAAAATTTTAAAAATCAAATAATTAAAATAGCACCAAAGATTACATGAACAACACAGTCCACATAGTTTGAAAAAAGTAACGATCAGAGTTCAGGGAGGAGTAACAAAGGCCTGATTGGGGGATATCGCGGGTCAAGTGCCACACACACATGAACACTAGGGACATTCCTGGCTTTTGGACTGTGCACAGAAGGACTTGCTGAACTATCTCAACAGGAGCATAAACATTTGTCAAAAACTCATTGTACTGTACACAAAAAAGGGTGAAATGTACTACATACAAATTACACCTTAATAAAAAAACAAGGAAAAACCCCACCTGTAAATGATTACTTGGAAGACAACTGGCAATTTGAATAAAATTACAAACATGCATTTCTTATGACTTAGAAATTCCACTTCCAGGAACTTATTTTCCAGTTATATCCAGAATATAAAATTATCCATTATTTAAAGGGTACTCATTGTAGCACTATTTATAAATTTTTTAAATGAAGTGTTTTTAAAAATAACAAATACATAGTGAACACTTAGATGCAGTGATACAAGTCTAAGATCAAACGTTAACAATTGTATAAACATCCAAAATTATTTCTGGAAGACAAGTCGACTTGCACAGATCACAATGCCAATAAATGTGATCTGTCAGCCTATAATGAACTGATTAACTACTTACAAACTATTCATAAAAACTTCTAAACACAACACAGTTGAGTGTAGATACCACATTCTGTTCTCAAAACTTAGTCATTATTGATTGACCTTTCCTGGTATTAAGTTCACTAAAATGAAGACATATGCAGCCTGGTATTATTCACAGGCACCCCACCTACCCACCACTGACAATGACAACCGACCAGTGTGCCTTATGGTTCACAAACTCTATCCTGAGTTGATTTAACTTTTCTGTATACATTTCCTATGAGTAAGGCAAGGTAAAGAATGCAAATTATAAAAACCTTAAGGGAAAAGACTAATAAATTCTAAACTTCTGTATGACAAAAATTCTAAATTTTTATATAACAAAAATAAATGAGTTAAATTTAAAATCATTATTAACTTTTTAAAAATGAAGAGGCAGTATGTGCAATACTTGAAGACAAAGGACAAATACTTCGTTTATTAAAGATAAACAAAGTATTCTTGTCAACACCTATACAGATAAATAAGCAAATAGAAAATATACAAGGAATTTACAGAAAAACTAAAGGTAACTAAGGAAAGCATAATCTCAACTTTTAAAAGTTAACACAACAGCAGCAGCAGCAAAGAAAAACCAAAAATCCAAGACAATAATATAACAAAATGAGAGTCGGGGGACACGAGAGGGAGAAATTCCCTAATACTCTATTGGAGGCATCTGGCTCTCTCACACAAAAATTAATATAGGGTCCTAGAAAAGGAAATTATGGTACATCCATGCAGACTTAAGAACTATTAGTCACCAAAAAAAATAAAATCACTCTACTAATGGGGAAAGATGCTAAAGATACACGACCAATTGAAAGCAGCAGCTGCAGAATAACATATGCAACCTGGAACTGCACAAAGACTGAAAGGATTATGAGCCAGAGCATGTACCAAAAACAATACCCTAGAGGGAGGGTATAGCTCAAGCGGTAGAGCGCATGCTTACCATACACAAGGTCCTGGGTTTAATCCCCAGTACCACCTCTAAAAATAAATAAATAAGTACTAACTACACCCCTCCCAAAATTAAATCACCTATTATTCTTTCATCTTTGTGTAAAATCTACACTTCCAAAAAAGCACAAAAACAATACCCTAAATAATAATAGTAATTAAATGGGGGTTTGGAATCAAGGCAAGGGGATGGTGTTTGTTTTCTATATTACACATTTCTGTATTTTGTGTTTCATTTTTTAACAGTAAGAATGTTTCACTTTTGAAATCAGAAAATGAAGGTTTTAAGTATACAGTTAGGGCAGGAGAAGGAAAAATTAAGTCTTGCTAGGAAGACCTGTTCTTAAAATGCAAAGCTTTGAATCTCTCTGGTATATAAACTATTCAGACCAGCCAACATCCCCAACAAAACCTAACTGTTCACCAGATTCCATGGCTACCTCAGAATGATGACAGGAGGGCATTCAGGATCCCAAGGCATGAGCATGTCACAAGTTCAACAGCACTAAAACATTCTTAAAGATGTATTTGAAAGAAAAATACAGCTAGAAAACTCACAAAATTATAAAGTCAAAAAAGAATAACTGATCAAATAAATTACTTTTCATTGCTGTTTGCTATATGTCTAAAATTGGAAGAGGCCCTAACTTTTAAACTTTAGCCTGAAAGTTGCTTCTTCCATATGAAGAAAATAATATTTGAGTTTTAAAGTACCTTTGTTTTCATAGGACTTGAAAACCCAAAGAAAAACATACCTTCTAAGAGCATTTCCGGAATGTCTGCTTGATATCTAGGTCCCACTCTGATTTCACCTTTGTCAGCTAATAGTGTTTTCACTGAGGGGTCATAGACCAATGAGTAGAAAAAGGTATCCTGGGGAAAAAAGACAAAAAATATCTAGGTACATGTAATTCCTTCTACTTTTTATAAAGTAATAAATCCAGTGTCACAATAATGAAACCATAAAACTTCAGAGACTATAAAACTTCATTTTGGTGAATAAATGAATAAATCTCCAAGGAGAGCAAGATGTTACTGTCATCAGATAAAACAGTACAGTATTTTAAAAAAAAGTACAGAATTAAATGAAAGCAAAACAAATAGCTTAACAATAAAGGTAGATAATGAAGTTTCATTATTATCCATTTCAGTCTAACAGAAAACCATTAACTACTCTAAAATTAAAAGTTAGCAAAGTTAAGCAAAAGTCAAAGGAAGACACCTGAACTCAAGAAATTTAAAGCTGTAAAGCCCACACTAAACAGTAAAGATGCCTCCACAGATACCGGGCACTCTCAGTTTTGAAGTGTTTCTGGCCCACATTTTATCAAAAATACTAAAATGCACATATATCTCACATTATATAAATTATAGAGGAGCTTAGTTTATATGCAGTTTACTAATATGTTACATTGTATACAATTTAATTAAATATCTATAAGTACAACTTTGCAGTTCTTTAAATTCTGAAACACTCCTATGTGTATGTAGATAAGCATATAAACATAACTGTATACATGCTACCACCACTAGCACACCCACCTAACTTTCCATGGTCCCTTAAGAGCAAACACCCTAGTTACTGTGTCTAATGGGCAAAATGACCTATAGCCACCAGTCCTTGGCTGGATTCTGCATTACCACTGGAGGTCATCTGAACCAGCAAAGTCTTGCCCCTTCTTCCCACTGTGGTTCTGAGGGTCATCTACTGCATGACTGTATTACATCCTGGAAGAGCCTAATCCTACCAACAGCAGACTGATAAAGGACTACATGGTTAAAAAGCAAGTGAGTAGGAAAAAAAATCCTACAGACCTTTGCAAATTTTCATCTACTACAGTGCTTAGCATATACAAATTGCTAACAAATTATAAAGCAAAAATATCACCTTTTAAAAAAAGATCCACTCTCAACAACCAAATACAATAAAATATACTGAAATATGTTGAATATTTCCTTTCTATTTCCGCTTCTGTGAACAAAAGCTAATTTCTGAGCATAATCATTTGCCATATTATTATCCATCATTCTGTTGAATCGACAACAAACCCTACTTTCTTTTCTAAATTTCATGCATATAAGTTATAAAGACTATTAACCTTTTTCTCCCTTGAATATTTATTTTCCCTTTCATTTTCATTATTAGGTTTTCATATGGATAGTAGTTCTACATGTTTGTACCAATCTTCTTCTGTAATGTTTTCTTCGAGATAAAGGAACAGCACTTTTGAGCACAATAAAATACTTTTTAAAAAGAAAATATGTCCCTTTAATTCTTAAAAAAAATACATGTAATAAAACTTTTTGGAAACTTTTACCATGAAACCATAAAGGTTAAACACTGAAATATTATCTTTTTTTTTTAATGGAGGTACTGGGGATTGAACCCAGGACCTCGTGCATGCTCTACCACTGAGCTATACTCTCCCCCAACACTGAAATATTATTAATAGTAAAATATTTTCCCCACGATACAAACAATAAAAATCACAAAAAACTGCAAAATATGGAATACTCTGTTTACAAGAATTTCCTCCCTTCAATAAAGTACATGCTCTAATTCAACTTGTTAAAAATGTTTAAAAAGTTTCTTGTTGAAGTTTACAGAAAGAAGTATTCTTAGTTGACAAAGTTTATTATGATTCCAGGAAAGAAAGCAGACCACCAATGGTAGAATCTCATCTGGAAAGAGTCTAAAAGAAAAGCTATTTATTTAAAAAGAGAGAAAAAAAAAAGAAAGAAACAAAACATAGGGAGAAAGACAAAGTATACATAAGTCACTTATCTCATAAAGCCAAAAATATTTCTTCTACTGGTAACTAAATCATGTGCTATACTTTATAAGCCTTTCAAGTACCAAGTGAGACAGACACAGGAGTTTTTGCCAACTCTTAGTTAACCAGAAAAATTAAATTACTCGAATGTAACTTAGTCATAATACTTTTACCATAATACTGCTATCACTGTGCAAAATTTGGTAGAAGAAACAATTTAAATTTATGGACTTCACGTAAAATAGAAAACAAAAACACTAACATACATATAATTATGAATTACCTCTTTATCTAGATACGACAATACTGACTCTGTCTCATTCAGAAGGGCAACACTGCATTTCCCCCTGTTGAAAGAGAAAAAAGGGAATAAATGTAAAAAAGACCTCCTCACCTTCACAGTGATAATGCCTACAAAAGTTAGGAACATTCGAAATGTAAAGCTCCCATTAAGAAACCAGATGGTGGTTAGGAACATTTATATATGTATATATTTAGACTCACTTTACAATCCTGACATTGTGTAACCTAAAAAATAAAACTATCTTTGTAGACATTTATTGAGAGGCTAACCTGGGGAGGGAACAATGTTAGGCAGTAAATTCTTTTAACATAAAACACTTTATAGGTAATTTCCTTATTTTCCAAGAAAGCAGAGTACAATGCAACCTTTAGATAAAGAGTCAGTTTCTGATTCTATAAAGAATTAATATAAGATAATTTTATACAAGGGTCCCTCAAAGATATCACCACGCAAATTTGCCTAAAATAATCTTCAGATTTTTTAAGTAGCCACTGCATATGAGAACCTAAAAATAATACACATTCACATCTGGACTATCTTTATTGAAACTGCTCTAAGGAGTAGTTAAAATTTAAACACAAGGACTTCTATAGAGCAAGGGGCAAATAAAGACTGACAGATTCAAGGACCTTGAAGTCTGATGGCATTTACCTTTGGTCATAGCTGAGTGTGAGTTCAAAAATAAAATGTCTATTAAAAAAGACCTGTCTACACTTGAGAAAAATTAAGATTATCCAAGTAGTGATATTTATTACAAACATTTTTTAAATTACTCTCAGCAGCTTGAAAAATTCAGAACAGCTACAAATTTGAAACGAGAATTCTGACAGGCTATTCAAGTTACAGATATTGGTCACAAAATATTTTTTAATGTTATAATGTCATTTGATTTTCTAAACAAATGTCACAACTTGCTCTCCACAAAATAACATACAAGAACAAATACATCACATACACATTAAACAGGAAGCTAGAAGGGCTTTGTTGGATTATCAGAGTGAAATATGATTCAAAAGAAAAAATTACCAAAAGCAAGATAAAATAGCAAAAGTAAAATATTAATACATAGGTCAAAAATTATAGCTTACAAAATACTTTTGCAATTGTATATTCATTAAATAAAAAAGAATTCCTCTAATCAAAACATCTTTCTCTGTTAATCATCCCAGGTTAATATTGCTTCAAAAGGTTTCTCTGAGAGCATGTGGTATTTCTGTATTATCCTGTCAAATCTCTAATTTGGTTACCAAGAGTTATAAAGGTTTTCTGTTTTTCTAATATATTTTTTCATGCATATTACTGAAGCAGAAAAATTAACATCATTACTTCAGTACATATAACACTCAAAGTCAATAATCATCTGACATGCTCTTACAAAGGACAGATTTAGAGTAGGGAAATTGCTCTGTTGCTGTTAGCACAACTACAGCTGCCATAGAACTTCTATGACCTGTGAATATGTGCTCACACATGCAAGAGCACTTAAGTAATAAATGGGATTTCCAAAAACAGTTTCACTTACTTTTTTTGCCCCAGTAACAGCTGAAAAAGCAGTATTTCTAACATTTAATACTTAATCGTCTAGAAAAAAAATCTTTTTTTTTAAGTTCTCCAAAATCAGAGGTTTTTTTAAATGGGGGGGGTAGGGAGAGCAGAAGCTACTAAATGTTATTAATAGATACCACTTGAATTTTATGGGATAACAGACACTGAAAATTTATATAAACAATATAACATGAAGTCACCTCCATACTGTCTGAAATGACAAAAGAATTTAAATTGAATCACTAAACCACTATTTTCACAATTATATTAGGAGACAAAGAAATATTGATTATACTGTTTTTAGAGGCACAACATGATTACAAAACCAATAGAAGGATATCTCACCAATCTAAAAGATAAATTATTTTTGGAAGTGTAGATTTTACACCAAGATGGAAGAATAACAGGTGATCTAACTTTTAAACTCTTTAATGTAGCTATAGTGCATTTTTTCCCAAATTAAAAATGAAAATCTGACACTTAAATTTTCATGTACATACATTAACAGCTAACAGAGTAAGAGGTTGAGTCAGAATTATTTTATGAAGTAAAATAAATATGAATATATAATTAACACGTGTACAACCATGCCAAACGTTGTTGATAAAAGAAGTTTAAAAAGAGATTTAAAGTGTTGGCTTCCTTTATGCTGAACAAATCTTGGCTCATAGGAAAAAACATGATACATTTCTAACCACAAACTAAAGGAACCATTATCAAATTGTGAATATAGATAACCCAATTGTTTTATCCTGAACCTCAAGCAATGTACCTAATTATGTCTCCTCCACAGAAATTTAAATCTTTAGGAATGAAGACATCCAAACATAATGATATAAAACATATCAAAGACCACACAACATTCAGAAAGATCACTCCAGGTCCATATAATCATTCATACTGCTTTTCTATACAGAATCACACAGAAGCACAGAATTTCTACAGAGATAACATATTTTCCTACCGATCATTCAAAGAGTTTTTAAAAACATACTGTTTCCAGCTTGGAAACTGTGCAGAGGGCTGGAACAGAGAGAAATGTGAATAAATACAATAATACAACATGGTCCAGTGTTTAATAGCAGGTGCTGATTAGCCTGGAATCTATTTGCTTAATAAGATGTCCAATATAATCCCTACAAACTCAAAAACCTTACGTAAAAATGTATACACAGGTTATTTTTCCTTTTATCTAAAAATGTTACCTATTGTACGAATAAAACATGAAAAAATTTAAATTAGCATCCATTTCCGCACTACCTGATGACTTTCCTGAACTTTGATACAACTGAAGCTGACAGAATGGTTCAAGACGACCATTCCTGCTTGGAAAAATGAAAATTTATTAGTGCCACACCAGACTTATTGGACTTTAAACTTTCCCTGCTCAATGAAAACCATTATTTCTTCATTAAAAAAAGCATTTCTCCATTAAAAGAAAAATGAAATCTTGCCATTTGTGACAACATGGATGGATCTAGAGGGAGATATGCTAAGTGAAATAAGTCAAAGAAAGACAAATACCGTATGATCTTACTTATACATGGAACCTAAAAAAATAAAACAAAACAAATGGAAAACAGACTCATAGGTACAGAAAACAAATGGGTGGTTGCCAGAGGGAAGGGGGAGGGGGTGTGCATACAAACAGATGAAGGGGATAAAGAGGTATAAACAACCAGTTAGAAAATAAATAAGCCATGGGGATGTAATATACAGCATAAGGAATACGGTCAATAATATTGTAGTAACTTTGTACAGGGGCAGATGGTTACTACACTTATTGTGGTAATCATTTCATAATGTATGCAAACATCAAATCACTATGTAGTAGACCTGAAACTAACATAATGTTGTATGTCAAGTATATTTCAAGTGAAAAAAAAATTCTTTTTTAGTTGCCAGGAAGGGGTAAAAAGGACACAACATTCTTAGCCATTAGGAAAACGCAAAATCAAAACTACAGTGAGATAACACTTCACATACAGACAATAACAAGTGTTGACAAGGATGTGGAGAAACTGGAACCCTAATACTTTGCTAGTGAGGATGTAAAATGGTGCACCTACTTTGGAAAACAGTTTGGCAGTTCCTCAAAATGTTAAACACAGAGTTGCCATCTGACCCAGCAATTCCACTCCTAAGTGTTATGTAAGAGAAAATATATGTCCACACAAAAAATTTGTAAATGAATGTTCATAGCAGCATTATTCATAATGGAAATAACCCAAATTTTCATCAACTGATGAATGGATTTGAAAAAAAATTTTTGCAGTTCTAGTCTAAATCCAAGGGCCTGAGAACCAGGATTGCTGATGCTGTAAATCCTAGTCCAAGAACAGGAGCCCAATGTCCCAGCTTAAGTCAGGCAGAGAGAGAGAATTCTCCCTTCTTCCACCTTTTTGTTCTTTTCAAACCCTCAGCTGACTGGACAAGGTCCTCCCACATTGGGAAAGACAATCTGGTTTACTGAGCCTACTGATTCAACTAATCTCTTCAAGGAAATGCCCTTATGGATACACCCAGAATAATGTTTAACCAAGTATGTGGGCATCATACAGCCCAATGAAGTTGACACATAAAATTAACCATCACAAATCTCAATAAAGTTATTACTAAAAATTTATAAATTACTCTTCAAAACTGTCAAGGCCATGAAAAATAAGGAAAGACTGAGGTACTATCACAAACCAGAGGAGACTATGGAAACAAGACGCCTAAATGCAATGTCAGACTGAATCCTGGAACAGAAAAAAGATGTAAGTGGAAAGAATAGTAAAATATGAACAGGGTCTTAAGTTTAGTTTATAGCAATACATCTATGTTAATTTCTTAGTGTTGATAAAGGTGCCGTGGTTGTGTAAGCTGTCAACGGTTAGGGGAAACTGAGTGAATGGTATATGGGAACTCTAATATCTTTGCAGCTTTGCTTGTAAATCTAAAGCTATCCCAAAATAAAGTGCTTTTTAAAAAAAATTATTTTCTTTAAGAGTGACTTACTTATTTATTTAAGTTGTTTTTTGGTGGGGGGGTAGGTTTATTTATTTATTTTTAGGGGTACTGGGGATTGAACCCAGGACCTCATGTATACTAAGCATGTGATCTACCACTTGAGCTATACCCTTCTCCCAAAATGTTTTTTTTTAAACCCCCTCCACCAAAGGACATCTTTCTTAATTGGTCTTATGAATCTTACATTAGCCACAAATTGAATTCCCAACATTTTTTTCACATAAAGAACCATGCGAGGTTCTCTGACTGGAAATTCAGCAAGCAGTTTTATACATCATTTAATCCACTGAATACAATGAACGAATAAAAAAAAAGTTCAAAGTTCCAAAATAATTTCAGAAGATTTTATTTCATAACAGCAGCAATGTAAGATCTGACAAAAGATAAAAAAATTCTCAGGAAAATTATTTCCAAACCAGAATTATATGCCTAAACAAACCATCAGCCAAGTGTGAAAAATTTTCAGATAAGCGAAGGACTAGAAAT